AAAGAGATTTCTTAGAACTGTCTAAAGACCAAGCAAAAAGGTACATGGCACCATAGTCTTAGCCCATTCATTGTACAGCAAAGCAAAAGGTTACCTGGAGCCCTTCCTTAAAATAGCCTGTTCTGCTCTGCATCAAACCAGAGCATAAGCATTTCCATGTACAGCCAGTCTAATTCAGGTGGGACTGGAGTGATATCAGGCAAGGGCAAGCAGCTATGGGGTGTTAACATTTTAAACTACTACAGCAGTTTCAGAAGCAAAGCTATTACACAGAAGCAATTTAGATCTGAATTCACACTTTGATTTCTGCTTGCTTTCTGCAGGTTTACATTTACAGATGACTGTGTACATAACCTAGGGGTACTTCTATTTCCAGACAAAAATGCATCCAACTCTGTCTAGAATATTTTTGTAATACTTACATTTTAAATATATATATTTGCAGATATGCCAGCCACATCTTCTTGCTGCCTCCAATTTAAGACATCAGGTTGTGTGTTCTGTGTGTGTTGTTATTACTTTTGTGCTGTACTTGTTGGCCACAAATAGACAGATAGAGATTTTATCATGCAGTATTATTAACTGGTCAGAAAATAGCCCAATAAGTGCAAGACCACTGAATATCACAGGAGATGCTCAGTGAAAATGCTCCCAGAGACCTCAGTGGCTTTAGGAACACACCAGGAATTTAAGGCAACTCCACCTCTCTTTTACTCTGGAAATACATGCAACTCTTACTTCGCTATATGCAGTTGGTCCTTGCTGCAGATTAACTGAACCATATGTGAAGACACCAGAGAGTTAATCCTGTATAGAGCCAGGTCTGACCAAGTGGGCTTTATTAGTTCCCATGCAGTGCCCAGAAAACACAGCTCCCTTCCCACCACTCCAGCTCAGCAATGCAGATGCCTTCTGAAAGTGCCTGCATCACCACACCCTGCTAGGCAGAGATGAGCACATATTTCAGTGCCTTTACACTGTATGACCAGCATTTGCTTAAGTGCTTTTACTGTCAGAGACTTTCAATTACCTATTTGTCTTTCCCCTTCTACTGCCCTGATAACAGAGACTTGCTCCTACAGCCATACGGATGTATAGATAAGTCTTAGGAAAGAATGATTTCACACACGGAGTTGCCCTTTTGCTTTGGCATATAGAAATACACATGACTGGGCAGGTAAAACACAGTTAAGTTGGCATGAGATAGTGGGCCATAAAAGAAAACATAGGAAAAATATCAACTCATTTGTCTTATATGTAAATCAAATAAAGACATCAGCTTCTTTCATGAAGTGTAAGTCCAGAGAAAATAATTATTTTGGCCCGAAAGTGACCCAAGTTCACATTCAGCTGTAACACTCCCATTTTATCAGCTAGGTCATTAGATGTCACAACCAAGGGGAAGCAAACTTGATGGCAATTGCATTGTGCTAAATACACAGATTCTCCAATGAGAGAGGAACAACATCCACTATCTTTGCTTCCCCACATTAATAAGACAGCAATGACAATTCAAACACTTCAATAAATGTACAGAAGGGAACAGTGTTAAAAAACCCCCTATCAAGTCCAGCCTGACTCACCTGACTTCCTTGCTTTCAAGGCAATGACAGCAGCCAGTTCCCTCTGTACCTAAAATACCAGGAAAGGAAAGGATGGTTATAGTTACCAGCACAGTCAAACAAAACAAATGCAACACTGGTTACATACTGGCTACCAATCTTTTGGAGCAGTCAAGTGCATGTGGAATTATGCAGGTACTTGGTTTTGAAACTACAATCACTTTTCCTAGCAAATCTATTTCCTTTCCAGCTGGAAATTCTGTGACAACTATTTTCTTTATTTTTATTACTTTACTTCCATGTAAATACTGCACATTCCTTAGGGAACAGGCAATTCAGTAGCCTGACCTGTAATTTATTTGCACAGCATCTCTCTTTCACAAGCACATACTTAAGGCTTCTTCCTTTCCTCGTTAAATGTTTGTCTTGCCTCTGCTGAGCGCACTGTAATGCTGGATTCATTGTGTGACTCCAGGATAAGCAAGTTCACCATGCTGAGGTTTGGCTGAGGTTCTGCTGACGTTCATATATGTAACTGGCATTTGCTTTTTGGAGCTTCCAGGAGGAAATAGCCTCTCCTAATAGCATGGCTGAACATTTCAGGACCAAAATTTAGCTTGATATGAACATGCAGAAGTATAAGCTCTGATGTCCAGATTTGCAGGCTACCTCTCACCAGCTTGTGGTGAAACACCTCTGCCATGCTACCCAGCTCCTGTATTCTTCATGTTTTCTCTATAATCACACCAGCTACTCTCCCATTAGCCAGCTCAACTCTACATCCACTTCTCTCCATAGCTCTGTTCCTTTTTTCTATCAGTAAAATTGTGTGCTATGCATTATTTTATGCATTTATATACTCACTGCCATCATGACCCAGTGTAGCTGCTTCAAGTGCCTTGCACTTGACTTAGAGCACCCCAGACACTCTCCACTGTGTATACCTTAGTTCTTCCCTTCCTCTGCCTCATCCACATCCTCAGACTCTTTTGTATAACTCCAGGTTCTTCCAGTTTCTCCCATTTTCCTCAGACAGCTTGTCTTTAGTTATATATATGACCCATATATACATATATATATATATATACACGGGACATTCTCCTGTTTTTTCTAGAGAATGTATTACCTCTCTGTACAAAGCCTCCTGCAGTGCACACTGGCCATCTTGTCTGACAGACCTATGCAAACCTCAAGGTTATTCTGCTATTCTGCAGTGGGAGTTTTGACAAACAGTTGCTGAGAGCCTACGAAATTTAAGACATCTCAGTACAATGATAACTCCAGTATCCACCAAGCAGATACTCAGCAACCACCCAGTTTGCTCCACATGTGGCAGAAGGTAGTCATACCAGAGGCCACATCTGTCCTCTGCTTGCATCCTTCCTTCTCTCCCATGACAAAGGTCCAGGGAGATTTTTCTGATGTCCTTGCAAGGTATAAGGATCTTTTCTACTCCTTGATGCTGCCACACTGAGAGAGACAAAATTTTCTGCCACTCCGAGCAGGAAAATATGAAGGCAGTGCCACACTTTTCTTAAATGTCATCCTGTTTCCAGCACAATTGTGCAAGCTGGCAGTGTTGCCTGCCTTTCCTTCCTTCCTGAACACTCATTCCCATGTCTGGAGAGCTGTTAATCATGGTTAATGTAAGCATAAACTTGCAAGTAAGATGGGAAAGAACCGTTCTTCTGTGGAAAAACAACATGTGTGCTTGCTTGCTTCCAGCAATTAATATACACTAGTAATAATACATACAAGCTATCCAGAGTTAGAGTGGGATTTTCAATGAAAGTCCAAGCTGCTTCTGAATAGCAACACCACTACTTTCTGTGGCTAAACTGCTCAGACCCTCTCCCTTCACTAAACTCTGCAGGAGGTACCCATGTCAGTGCCTTGATCCTCCTCTATTCTCACAGGTTACAAACAACAAGAAGCAGTGCACAGATGTCTCATCTTTATCTTCTAGCATTTAATATAAATATTGTCTCAAGATTAGCTTTAGGAGACACTGCCATCTGCAACAGCTGTAAACATACCAATTACCCTAATCAAACAATTGAAAAAAATGCAAATCTCTCTGTGAGTATAAAGAAAAAGCCATCTTAGAAGAAAAAGCAGGATTGTGACATCCTGCAGTTAGAACAGCAGTATTACTTTTGCTTATAAGGTGGCATTTTTCAAGTTTGAAAGGCAGTGCTAACAACACAGGCAATAAAAAGGCTTTTTCTGCATTTTGTCTATGTTATGCAAAATAAAGTATTGTTTGCTGTGTGTCAGGAATGTAACTGGCATATTACTTAGTCTGAGCAAAACCCTTCACTTAAAACATGTTCCTCTAGTTCTAATATTAAGTAACTATTCCTTCATCAAAGGGTTTCACCTTCATGGTCCAAACTCCCTCTTACAGCTCTCACTCAAATTACAAAGAGTTGCTGCTTCTGAGCATCCTTCTGGACTTGCTTGGTGTCCCTATTTCATCATTTATATGCTTTTCCAATTTTAGCGTAAATGGACTTGACAACTCTGCTGGACATGCAATTCCTCTGCTTCATTACACCAATAGAAATCCATGTATAACATTCATTCCTCACTGCACACATGCTACACATTATCATAGTTCTTCCTAATAGGACTTTGGTTACTGTCTGTTTGACAAAATCAATAGCTGAACATCACATTGAAAATAATAATGTGAACTCAAAGTAAAACACACATTTGAACAAGAGCTCTGCATGCCATAATAAATTGAGATATCAAATACAAAAAATTGGTTTCTATATATATCTTGTTACTAAAAAGCTAACACTATCTACATAGCATCTCGTTTCATGTAGCATTGCAGATGTCAAATAAAGGCCAGCTTACCACACACAGAAATATTATAGAAGTCTGAAAAATAACATTTTGAGTGTTAATCTGTTAATCTGTTTTCTTTTTGCAATATAAAAGAGCAGGAGTGTGCACACAGAGTGCTACCCACGTGCACTTGTACTTAATTAAATACAAATGGTGTATTTATATGGTGAATCTTCTAATCTTCAAAGGTCAGAGGTAAAATCTTTCAAAAGTAAATGACACTACTGTTCTGATTTACACATCTGGACATTTTATCATAGAAGGTGTAATTTTGCCTATTGTAGGCAGTACAGACCACCTCTGCTTTTTTCCTCTCTCTCTCTTTTTCTGCCTGCCTTTCATTAAACTGTATTCTAGATGTAAATGTGTCAAATAGGACTTCAGACGTAGAGACCAAGTGGCAATCCTTACAGAATCTTAAAATTAAGTCTTGCAACAGAAAGCTCTAAACACCAGAGGTTTGAAAAAGAAAAGAGTTTAGTTTGCTTTTTTGCATCTCAAGTAATGATAGTTTGATGAACTCTAAATAAAAGTCATATTGACTGACACCTTAAAGTACCAGAAAACTGTATTTCCCAGATACGTTGCATTAACACCCTGATACACTTTTCTGTCCCATCAAAAGGTAAGGTAGGAGCTTTGGAAAGGAACAATCCTAGCCATCCCACTGTGCTCTAGTTTCAGCAGACAAGACATCGAATACAAAGCTTCTCTTTGGGACATGACGTGGGATGTATGTCAGCTCTGGAATGCTTTAACCCCAGGAGCAACCATTGCATTTTTAAGGAAATTCATGACCAAAAAAGATTATGCTGCAAACATATTTCAAGAGGCACTTTGCACTGCTTGCATGTCAGCTGCCTTTACAATTTAAGTTTGATGGTGTTTTCAGTCCCTCATTATAATGAAGCGTCTGATACAAGCATATAATTTGGTAGGCTTCAGTTATCTTGAATGTTCTGTAACGGAAGAAGCAGAGTCAAAGAAAAAGCAAGACCCTTGACAAGTTAGGTTTTTATTTTTTGTACCTGACTCTGCTCCTAAAAGAGGTGCATTCCATACATTATGCACAAATTAAGATGATTAAGAAACTTCTACAGCTTTTTCCCTTCTGCCCTTCTGACTTGGCACCATTCACTGCTATTACCTTCTACAATCTCCATAATCCTTGTTTAAAACCAAGAGTGTTTTCTTACCTAATCAGTTCTAGACTGCTTTAATCACCAAAACAAACAAACAAAAAAGCACTCACAAATTGTGCAGGGAATGTGAAAAGTGAAACTCTACAAGAGAAACACCTGGTAACAAAAAGCAGTAGGGAATAAGTACTAAGAGAAAGGCCAACAAAGGAAGTCAGGCTGCAGTCAAGAAAAAGAGGTGGAGAGAGGAATTCACCAGACTCGTACAGATGTTTATGTCTGTGCTAGTCACTCTATAACCTCACCAGCAGAGCCTAAGATTTAACTGGTTTTCCCTAAAGTAGACTTTCAAAATTAATCATACATTCAGCATCCTAAAAGTCCCTATTTCTGCACTTTGGCTGTGAGCAGTGCCTGGGAAGCCAGCTCAGATGTAGATGCCTGCCATATGGCCACTCACATTTAGCAAGGTGAGTTCTATCCTCTGCAACAGCAATAGATTTGATAGAGTTACAGAAATAAATAATTATACTATAGGTGCATACATTCTTACAGTTTTTCCAGTGCTTTCAGATGCTAAAAGCAGGAATTTAAATTTCAGGCACAGAGATTTCTCCAGTGCTGCTTGGGCTGGATCTTCACAACCAGCTCAGGTTTGAAAATTTGGGAATTTAGTGCCCAAAACAGAAAAGCTGATACAGAAGCATTCATCTGCCTTGACACAGAGTGTTTTATTCCATTACAAGAAAAGCAAAAAGAAAAGCAGGAAAGACTGTGATACTGTGAACACTGATAGTATTTGAACCTCCAAACCTAGAAACGTACAAAAAGAGTCAACTCTAAACTCTAACTGTTTTAGTGCTGGACAGGAAGTAAGGTTTTTGTGGGTTTTTCACTTCTGAAACACCAGTCTGAAGAGTGCTTTAACACAATTCTCAATTATGAATTCTTCAAGAAAGACTAATATAATTCTGTACAAAATCTATAAACATCCAGCTAGACAAATAGCAAGAAAAACACCTCATCCTGGTGAGTCCAGCCCTTGGCTGAGGGTTGCAAACTGAGGGTTCAAGTTTCTCAGGAGCACATAAAGGTTCTCTGTAAACTTGCAGTGAGTACTGTAGATCCCAGCCTACTGTAAGGAGGAAAAGCAATATTCTGGAGGGCTAAAAGGGAGAAGTTTACATACAGATATTAATATTTGGAGGATTCTGCTCTGGTCTTACGTCTTTTCTCCAGAGTTAGAGTAAGAAATTGTTATAGAGAGCCTTCAGTTTTGTGGAAAAATCAGAAAATGCAGGAGAAAAGATCAGTCTTTTTGACACCACCATGGCAATAGACAAGTCTCAGGCCATCTGGAGATGCAACTGCCTAATTTTTCTTCAGCTAGTTAGCTACAGCAATAACAGTAGCTAATACAGTTCATTAAAAAAAAACCCCAATAACAGCAAAAAAAACCCCAAACCAAACAAACAAACACAACAAAAAAAACCCTCCAAAACCACCACCAACAACAACAAAATAAAACTGTACATGTGCCCTGCTGCTGAAATCACTCAGGATGTCGTTCGATTGTTTGACCTTCCAAGCTAGATGTGAAGCACTCTGCATTCCCTGTTAATTACTCTCATGGTTAGGGATATGCCTTTTATTCAAGAATACCCAGCAATAGTTAGATCCAGTTCCTAAACTCAGAAAAGTCCCTTCATTGAGTGCTTCTATTTTATTATGAAAACTCATTATTCGTCTACTTTTGAAAGGCAAAGCTTTTGAGTGATGATACTGGCAATGTTTTAGGGAGTTGGTGGGTTTGTGGTTTTGTTTTGTTTTGTTTTTTAAAGATGCAACTTTGCAAGAAGTATTTTATAGTCTTCTATTTTTTCTGTAACTTAAAATGGAGGATATTGAGGTTCTGAGTTTTCCTTTCAATTCCAGTTAGGAAAAAAAAGATAGAGTAAACAAATAAATTAAATATAAATAAAATATAGAGAGAAAGATTTAAAAAAATATATTTAAGACACAACATTTATAATGTCTTATGGTTCAAATTATTTTTGAAGAAGGTAAATGGGACTGACCATCTCCCTTAGCCTGAGGGTAACACTCTTATTAATGCAGCATAGGAGGTGTTTGGCTTTCTTTGCTACAAGGGCACATTTCTGACTCATGTTCAACCTGCTGTCCACCAGGACACCCAGGTCCTTTTCTGCAAGGCTGCTTTCTGGTCAGCCCCTAGCCTGTACAGGAGAATGAGGTCATTTCTCCCAGATGCAAGACATTGCATTGCCCTTTGTACAAATTAATGAGATTCCTCTTGGCCCATCTCTCCAGCCTGTCAAGGTCCCTCTGAAGGGACACACACCTATCCAGTGTATCAACCATTCTTCCCAGTTTTGCATGACCTGCAAAATAGCTGAGAGTGCACTTTGTACCACCACAGAGTTTATAATAGATTGAGTGAATATAAGTTAATGTGAAGTTCTGTCTGTCTGCTTCTTAGAACAATAATCCTGCAAGATAAACAAGATGCACTAAATGCTACCACAGACAGGATAAGCTGTTGTTTATTAAGATGAAGTTTATTGAGCCTAAACATAGTTAGGAAGCCGGATACACGGGCTTCCCAGGTGGAACTCCTCAAAATCTTATGATAGTCTAGCCAAGGGCTGCTAACGCCCTTTCTCTCCCTTTGTCCTCCATCCCAGCATTGTCATCACCCTGATGTCCACTTGACCAGAGGATCTGAGTGTCTGCTGCCTGGTAGAAAAATCACCATGCTCCTTTAAACTGCTATATCTTGGGCCATGAATAACATGGATGACAAGAGAACAGGCTGCAGCAGTCTTTGCTTGGACTGATCTTAATAGCCTTGGAATTGCACAATAAGGCGTCAGTAAAGCTTCCTCCTTCCAGGCACAAAAAAACCACCTGCTAATTAAGACTGTCTTTATGTGAAAGGATCCAAAACATGACAATATTTCAAACGTGATCAGTACAGACTCTAACACAGTGAGCTTACCGCAGAAGTGAGACGAGCAAGAATTTCAGCGTTGGTTTCTGCCGTATCTTCTATTTTTTGATCAGGCCTTAAAAAAAAAAAAAAAAAAAAGGATTTTATTACTTCTTGCATTCTGTTTCAACATCTTTTGATTTCTGGAAAAAAAAAAAACAAACTACGTAGCCACAGGTACTAATGTAAAAGGGCTTTTGAGATTCCACATGAAAACGATGACTGCAACATGACAATAATTAATTGTGTCAGTAATGACAGAGAACACCCTTTGTCCCTTGTTGTCAAGAATTCTTTTGATTGGACTAACGTAAAACAGTGAGAGCATTCTTCATCTATAAAAATATGATGAAAAACTGAAGAATGCAGGACACTCCCAAGTCAGAGTTGCTTATTTGAATGCGTATTTTGATTAAAATGTACTCCATCAACAGAGAGAAGAGTTTTCCATCTGCCCACCATCTAGCTTTGCTAAGGTGTGGAGCAACACCCATGGAATGCAAGTTCACATAGATAAAAGCAGACAATATCAAAATCATTATATGACACATGAAGTCTGATATTTAAAAAAAAAAAAAAAAGTGAAAAAACATGTAAGAAGCCATAAATTAACAATCTAAAGCAATGGCTGAGAACACTATTAGGTTGTCTTGACTGTTACTCACAAGACAGAATGTGTCCCTGCAGAAATGGGGCAGTGCAGGAAGAGCCTTTCTAGAAACTGTCAAAGAAATCTGCCTCACATGGAAAAAGGCACAAAAAAGCTGCCATAGACAGCACAGGACAGGAGTATGGTTATCTTTAAAACAGTCTAATTTCCATCACTAAAATACCAGTGAGTCCTTGCGGAGGTTTATTGACAATCAGAAGAAATATATTAATATGACAGAGTTATTACTATGGGAAGAAGAAAAAGAAAATGCCTTGGAACATTTATTTTCATGGTATTCAAGAAGCATAGCATGCCAGCAAACTGAGTAGATAAAGCAAGACTGCAACTGCTGTAATAAGAATAAATCCCAGGTATTAGCAGAAGCTTCTATCTTTGATCTAAATTTTCTCTTTGATCTAAATTATATTCTATCTAAATTTTTTTATGGCTCATATGCCTTGTGTGTTCAGGGAGAGAGTTGACAACAAGTTTGGAATATGCAGCTGGTATAGTGTGGTTCTTACATCTCATGTCCAAATCTTTCTTTCCTTGATCCAAAAATTTGTGTCAGAAAGCACAGAATGACATGTGCATTCAGTTTGGGACAAGCATATTCAAACCAAAATGGTAACTCAAGTTACAAATCACAATTATGTTCACAACAGCCTTTCCTATTCAAAAAAAAAGTGATATTTAACATCTTATAAACAGCTCAAAAGCAATAAATTAATGCAGTTTCATTTACAAGGACTGATTTGTTCAATCTTTCTCTTTACAATTAGGAATGAGATTAAGATAGCCAACCTCTTTAGATGTCTATGTTTCCCTGCACAGGCTAGGACTTGATACTTCTAAATCAGAGGTAAAAGATAACAGCTCAGTAGACACAGATACAGTCTATAAACCCAGAACAACATAGCTATTTCCATCTTGGGTCTTTATCACTTCATCTTCTATTTAAAAACACTCCTAGTATTCATCTGAATATGGGCAACAAATACTTCTGAAACCATCAGTGCACTAAAAATTACAGTCAGGTCTCCAGAATCAGGGAGGAAGAATTTATTATGATACCCAGGATAATGAAAAAAAGCAAGACAGAATGGATACTGAGGAACAGAATCAGGACAGAAATCACCCTGTTTTTTTCACAAGGGGTCAGCTAAGACAAAACAGGAGCTACAAAGCCCAGGCAAACAAGCCTAATGCTTCAACAGCTCAGTGGTTTGTGGGCTTGGTGGTGTGTTAAGCAGAGCAAGATGCAAAGATGCTTGCCCAAAATCCACATGCAGGCAAGAGGGATCCAGCACAATTATTACTGCACACCACATGAAAGCAAACACGGTCCTTTCCAACCCGCTGAGGGAGGAAACAATATGGATACACCCATGGTCCTGGGCCCAGACCTCAACTATCCAATGTAGAGCCACTACATATTTCTTTACACAAGCTTTACAATCCACCTAAAATGCCAATAAATGACCCGTGGATACCTGACAGCTTTTCGCATTCAGCAAAAGCTTTCCAGGAGCTCCATAAGGCAGTAAGTAAATTAATATCCCATCCCATTAAAAACAAATTACCTTTAAGAATGGTTACTTTTCCGAAATTAACAAAATGTAAATTATTTCAGGACAGAACATAATGAATACAATGTAATAATTCTGAAAATAAAATAATAAACAATATAAGATAAAGAAGAAATTAATCCTCTGATAACATCTCTTCCAATAACTAAAAAAATATTATGGGATACATTTTAATAGTCTAAGGTACCCAATGCATTCTTGAAATGTTTATTGAATCTATCAGTGGCTTTGGGAATCAGGTGTTGTTATAAAAACCTCCGTTTATGAAGAAGGAAATAGAAGTACACAAAGACTAAAAACCCGATACAAAGCCATTGCAGTCACTGGAAAAGAATTCAGGAGGCACTGGATGAGAGCCTAAGTGATCGGTCAGAGCTGTAAGGAAGTCCATGGCACAGCTTTCGATACAGATCTTTTGTTCCCAGGCTATTGCAATATTCACTTCTATTCAAGTAGAATTGGCTGTGATTAACACAGGGTGTTTAATGACCCCAAGAGGCCTCTGTATCAGTCCCATCTCATTTGACAACATTACGGGGGTCAGTCCTGTGGAATACACCTAACAACATCAGCCTCCAGTTTAGTGTGAGCTGCTAAAAATCTGCTGCATTCTCTCTTATTTTCCATGGTAAATTCCCACCAATGTTATGTTTAATATAAGGGATTTGCCAAGATCAAAAGGCAACAGGGAACATTTATTCCAGATCCATACACACATCTCAGACTTCAGAAAGCTATTTTCACTGTAGAACTTACTACAGGATTATTTGGTAACACTGTGATACTGACCAGAAACAAATAAAAATACACCAAAAATCTGTACAGCGAGTCAAGACTGGGCCATGTTTATTTAATAGGGTTTCTAGAAGAGCTACTGGAAGTTCCCAGAGCTGCTACTGCCAACTCAGGTCTACAGCCTCCTTCTGGGAGAGCAAATCCATGGTGCTCCAGCGACCCACTGATGCACACAGCAGACCAGGCAAGCATGAGGCTGCTGCCCACCAGCTGCAAAGGAGACAGAGCTTGTCTGGCTCCCAGGACCACCAGGACATGTTCAACATTGCTTTCTGGTGCACCAGCAGGCAGTCACTTCTGATTTTATCAAAAGCAGGGAATCTAACCAATAAGGGAATTATTTCTCTGTCCCTGTGCACATACAGAATTAATGCCATCAATACAGACTATGAGAAAAACTCAGGAAAACTAATACAAAAAATATTAAATTACAAGAAAGACTATGCATCTAATGGTATGCAAAACAGTTTTGTGTTTGAGAAAAGACAAATATTTACTGGAAGGAAGAGTTTTTAGAATTTCCCTCTTTCTTCATGAAAAAGAATATAGAGGTTTATTCAACCTGGTCAGATTAACTTTAACATACACCTCATGACATCATCACGCCCTTTGCATCAAGCATGGAGAATTTTGAACCTGGAAAAGCCTCCTTTCCCTTTAATATCACATTCCCTTGATAGTATACCATTTTAAAAATTTGATTCCTTCAATATACATTTTTCTAAAAAGCACCCTCACAATCTGACAGGTAAAACCTCCAGAGAATAATTCTTTAGTGACAATGTTCCCAAAAGAAATCCAGCTTCAACTGAAATTTGAATAATTTGAGCAGGAAGGAGCTGGAAATGTACATTAGTGAATAATTGTTCAATTCACATGACAGAGATCATCCTCCTCTAGAAATGACAGTTGCACTGGAACGATAAGACTGCAAAGCAGCCTGTAAAATAGTGGTACTCTCCAGACAAGGTCAGCATGCAGGACACATTTTTAAATCAAACCTAAAAGGTCTTCAATCCATTTTCCTACCCAGCATCCTTCATGTAACTCATCAATATGACCTATCTGTTCTGTCTTTTTGATGCAAATCCTTTGTACAAGTAGTCAGGAATCATTAAAAGCAGCCTGATTTGCAGAGATAATGAGGAAAAACCCCAATTACCACTGAAATGGAGATGAAATTGCCCTGGTATTTAAGGGATGGTCAAACTGCTTAGCACCAGAGTAGGCTGGAAGACAAAAATTTCTATTTGCAGAAACATTCAAAGGTTTTCTCCTATATGAGTCATCTGCTTAGAAGACCACATTCAGTCTGCTGCTCTAGCCAAATTGGAGTCCTTGTCACTTGGCTACGCTCACTCAAACTGCCCAAATACATGCATTTTCAAGGAAATCCCCATTACAGAACTGCCAGTCTCTGGTTGGTGAGAGCATGATAACATCCAATAGACAGGTGAAAGAGGAGACGTATAGAAAGCAAATGGCTTATTCTGAAAAAAAAATAATGTGAGACTGCAGAGCTGTGACAAATTTGCAGTAGCAAACTAAAATCAAATGACTGAAGCTACTACATTTTTACCCATCCTCTCTGTCCATCTGATATCTGATCCTGAATCAGCACAAGGCCATCTGATCTGCTAGTCAATCAGCTTCACAGAATGTCTGCTGCTAAATTCGAGCCAAACCTCCAAATGCAAGAGGAGACCAAAGAAATTATCAAGTCATTTGCCCAGGTAATATGCAAACTAGAATCAGCAAACTAGGACATAAGAACCACAATATGCCAAAAACCCCAAGTGGGTGCCTTTATGTATCTACCCACACTAAATTTCTCAGATGAAAAGTCCATCTTTACAAACCTTGTCAACCCTGAAAAGAAAGCTGGCTCTTTTGTGTAGTGATTTGGGGGTAACCAGTGTCATTATAAGCCAGTCACTTACAAAACAGTCAGCGAAAGTTGCAAACAGCCCTACACACTCACTTACAGATTACACATGTCAATCCTGGGAGGAGACAAGGGCAGTAGTTGAAGTAGAAGCTTAACTCCATTCTTCCATCCTTCCTCTTTCTCAAATTCACAGAAAAGGTAGGTACATTCATCCGCTGAGAACTGGTAGAAGGCTTGAGTGTCTTGAAAATAGATTTGTCTGTCCACTGTTAGAAAAAATATTTGATAACCTTTAAACTTTTAGTATGTAAAGGTTCTGTGTCTCTACCACCTTCTGTGTTGCACTTGACTTTAATGCTCAGTTGCACCACCAGACAGGGCAAAAGGTTCACAAACTCAGCACATAAGCAATCCTGCCCTCTTGTATTAACTAAGTGCATCCAAACAGGACAACCCCAAAACCTCAAACTGAAGATCTCCAGGCTCCTGAAATTAAAGCATTAAGACTGTTGAGTATTTAAGCAATTTTGGAATCAGTTCAAAATTAGAGGATAAAAACCTTCCACTTGTCAGAGTTCTAAGTCTCAGTTTCCACTGGTTTCTAATCTGTTCTCACTAATGGCCAAGCACTAGTAAACCAAGTTCAGTAATGGGGATGCAGCTCATCATGATCCCAGCTTCTCCTCAAACTCAGGGCTACTGCATTTGTAGACTAGACCTGGGTAAGATGACATGATGAAAAACAGAGAGGAAGCAGAAATCACCAATAACTAGAGAAGTCACCTGGTGAAGTCATGTTCTGCAGTGACTAAACAGCTGCTATCCTGTGAAAAACCTGAAAGAGCTTAAGGAGAATAAAGAAATACACTGGAAAAGACACTCTCTGCAACTTGATAATAGACAATTACATTTGCAAAAGCAAAATGAAGGAAATTGCCTAAAAATATAATAATCCTTGGTATTTATGAAAGAAATGGTAAACCTACTGAAGAGATAATAAAATAAACTATTGTCAATAAAAATGGATCAATCTGAATATTTTTTTTCTTTCCCTCCTTCTCCCATCAAAAATGGGACTGGCATCCTAGGCAGGAGAAACTGATAGCCTTCCTCACACTAGAAGTACTATGAAGACTGACCTGATAATATAATGCCCATATCCAGGAGGAGCTGCCACACTCCAGCTGCTGTGGATCTGCACTTAACAAAAGGGCACTGCTCCAAAAGCCAGTCGACCAGTTCCGATCCAACACAGCTTCTCCTGAAAAATAAGCAAAACATAATTTCTTACACTATAGGAATGTTAAAATGCTCTTTTATAATAAAGAGCTATTTTTTAAAACTACTAGGAGTGAATGCTTTTGTTCAGCAAGGCAAGCTCTTTGTCTCAGTTACTGATTTCTGTAAGCCTATTCATTTCAAGGGGAGAAATTATTCTGGCAAGTCTCAGGGGATGCCCCTAGTTACAACGAGGGAACTCATGTTAGATGAGTAAGTTCCCTTACATACCTAATTCATGTGGTTCACTTTACAGCATGTAATACTGTTATCAATTAGTGCTGCATACAGACAGTCATCTGAAGTCACTGGGTGTTGCTCTAGGATGTCTTTCATCTATCATATTATTGATAAGTTATCTTTTTAAATAATTAATAGAAAAAATAAAAAGAAGTGGTGGGTTTTTAAAAAATATTTATATGAATGAATGGTGCTATAATAGAGACCTGCATTTTTGGGCATAATTGAAAATAGGAGGAAGCATTTATGCTGTAATGCAACACAAATGGAAAATCACTTCATTACAGAAATATTCCATAAATTACATGCAAAAATCTCAGTGTAACTAAATTTTAGGAATCCAATTAATCTCTTTTATAGCTTCAGACCAGGGCTGAACTGAGTAGCTTTTCTTTTCAAGAAAATAACAAACACAACTGTAGATTAAATCATAAGCAATTCAATCAATGGACATAGAATCAGGACACTGCTGCTTTCTCACAACTGCCAAAGTAACATAAGAAGAGCTATTAAAATACAAGAGATTTTAAGTACTTTTTTTAGAAAATGTTTTCAATTCTTATCAACACACACAAAATCTCACATTCAGAATTAAATGTTAAATCAAGGCAAATGCAAATAAAATGCATTCAGTTAATGAAAACAAAATACTCTTGGCTTACCTGCAAATGCCAGTAGGGTACACCCTGTCTTTAATCAGGTCAGATGCTTGTAGAGTAAAAATATTCCTGAGAGCTCTCCCAGCACAGGAAGAACTTTCTCCATAAATCTGAATGAAAAGATAAATTGAAAACTGTGACAGACAGAGATTTATTCCTTTCCACTGTCCCTCTAAGCAATGTCTTCCCCCCATCGAAACAGTCAAAGCCTCACAGGCACTGCACCCCAACTTCTGCCATACTCAGTTGTATCATGGGCTGCAGACACCACCATGAGCTGGACAGTTTTTACATTTGCTGCCTTAGAAGAGCAGAGGTTTTACTATCTGTCAGTGTGCCCTTAAACAACAGACAAGTTCAAGTGAAAATAATTGTTAACTCTAACAAAGCAAAAAGACTATTTTACCATTGTAAAACCAGACAAATATAGTGAAAAATAAACATCATTCCATATGTACTTGAGTTAAATAATTTTATACAAGCTCCATACACATTGAAACACCATTTCATGTTTTTTTTTCTTTTTATTCAGGAACTTTGAAGGTATCCTATGATAGCTACAGGTCAGTTCACCTGCACCTTGCCAAAAGGACTTTCAGAACAGACACACCTCTGACTTCCCCCACACCTGAATTCTATCTTACATCTCAAGGCTGCAGGTATTCTATCAAAATAGGACCCAACTCCATCTTACATAAAACAATGTTCCACCTGAACTCTGTATACCATTCCTTACTGATGTATTTAACTCAGCCTTCTGTAGTGATGCTTCCTCAGCACCTCAGCAAAACATTTCAGGAGTACAAATAACTTGAAAGAAAAACAATGCTGCCATTTCACCTTTTGTTTGTTTGTTTGTTCCCTATGCTTAGGAACTCTTCAAGGAATATAACTTTGTCCTGAGACAGTCAAGTCTTGTGAGATGCAATAATGGAGCTCTCAAATCTTCCAAAAGTAAGCTAAACAGTGGCAATTGCTTAAATGGCTGGGAAGTGAGAGTGCACTGGAATTCACAACAAATTGAGTAATAGAAGGACACAATTCCTAACACACCCAAATTATAATTTGTTAACTGGATTTAACTGCAGGCCACAATCAGAAGTGTCTTCAAAGGTAGGGTTAAGAGGTTGAATCAAAGCAAAAAAACTATTCCTAGTATGTTGTTTGATGAAATGGAATTTAAAAGATGCTTGACAGGTACCTTGTTTGAAGAAGTTTCCAAGTAGGGATTCGATATTCTTCTGGACAGGGTCTGTAAGACAATTTGGTAGCTTTAGTTTTGTGGGTTGTTCGGTTTTTTTGTTTTTTTAATTAAAAAAAAAAATAATAGAAAGCAGCAGCAGCATAGGTCTTTTAGCTACCGCAATCTAAATAAAAAGAATTTATTGAATCATCAGGGTAGTCCAACTGAAGCCTCCAAGTAAATTTTTCATATCAGGAAAAAGGTTTGGTAAACTCAGTTCTGTGTTGTTGTCATTTATTTATTTGTTAAATAAATAATAATAATGTTGTCACATTATTTATTGTTTTTTATCTGGAAGACAAGCAAATAAGTGGCAAAGTCTGTAGACAACATACAATTGTTTGGGTCCAGAAAGACCACAAATGACAGTGAAGAATTTAAAGATAAGCCTAAAACAATAAAAAGCTAGGCGATAAGACAGTATAATGCTGAGCTCAACGTTAAAAGCAGCATGCACCAGAGAGAGAAAATGTAACTACACAGGCTCTAACACATCTTAACACAAACTTTATAAATTCAGTAAAAACACCACCGTCTCAAAGAACTCTTCTCAAAGAAGATCACTATTCTAAATGCAATTCTTAACTGTAGTTAAAAAAACTATTAGGATAGATGGGAAATAAAATGGTGACCAGCAGGAAGGTAACATTGCTCTAATATTGATCAACATTATCTCTGCCATGCTACGTGCTGCACTGGTAACAGCATCTAAAAAATGTATGCTCCAATGTTAGAGGGGATTTAGACAGCAATAGCAGTGGAAATAAGGAAGGATTTGGATAAATTTTAGTATGAGAAGAGACAGAAAAGACTGTGACTATTTATTTTACAAAGGAGAGATTACAGGAGACATAATGCAATTATACAAAATAATGAAATGGCACAGAGAAAAGAGAGACTTTCTGCGCTCTGTTTTATGTTACATGAGAATAACCAACGACTCAACGAAATTAGAGAGGATTTGTACTTGAGAAGATAGAAAGGAAAATTACACATAACTCTTCACTGCAGGGAAATGCAAATGCCAAAACCTTACCACTGCTCCATAAAGGCTGGAGATTTAAAGTTATAAAATTAATAGTGAACCAGAACTCTGGAAGGCAGAGACAGGATAAACATCTCAATGAGAGTCAAGTTACCCTACCTTTACGCACCATGACACTTTCATATCTTGTCAGTGTTAAAAAACAATATATTGCCTACTCTGATGCTTACTGGCAACTTCTAGCTAACTACAAGCCACAAAAGACACAAATAAACATTGCCTAGAAGAAGTCTGGAAGTGGAACAGAAGACATTGTGCAGGTGCACTGGCAGCACAATGAGAAGATTGTGTGATGCTCCCTCATATTATTCCAACTTCTAGGCAGCATAATTAAATTCTCAGTTTGAAAAGGATCTAATTCACACTTGGTATGTCGTAAAAAAAAATTATTATTTTTTTAAATTGTCCTTCATACTCTGTAAGAATTACAGAATCTGTATTTCAGTAACACCATCTGCTTCCCTTCTCCCCCACACCCCCTATATTCTTGTTACTGTGTTTTTAGAAAGGGAAGGGAAATGCCAAGGAACCACAGAAGCACCTGATGCTGTTTACCCTTCCACACTCATCACAAATGTTGCTGTATTTCCATGCACAACAGTAGCTCCATATGTAAATAGTGTAACATAAAAGCTGAGTTCCCCTCTCCCATACCCAACAAAGATGCCACAAGAGCACAACGTTGCCTCAGCTCACACTTACTCTTCCTAGCCAGCACCTCGGTTCTGCAGCAGCCCTACACACCACCACTTCACTTGGGTCCTGTCCAAGTCTTGCATTCAACAAGCCTCACGCACTGCAGCAGCACAGCCAAAGCTTACATATCGATTTCCCCCCTCCTCTCTCCATTCCCAGGCTGGCGCTCATGACCTTATCCTCAGCAAGCTCATTCCAGCTATGCTGGTGGGAACTACAGCCCCTGGCATTGCATTGGCCCAGTTCCCAGCATCCAGAGGACAGTTACGCATCAGCCAGGGAAAACATTGCTACTCAGAGGTGCAGTTACACGGCAGCATAAGACCAAACTCAGCAACAAAGGACAAATTCATTGGCCTTCTACAACAGGGTTACATCATTGTTGGATAAGGGACTGACGTAATCTACGTGGACTTGTGCAAAGTATTTCATACCGTCCCACAGACATCCTCATCTCTAAAATGGAGAGACATGAATCTGATGGGGGGGGCACTCAGTGGACAAGAATTGGCCAGATGGTCATACTCAAAGATTTCCAGTCAGTGGCTTGTTGTTTGGGTGAAGAGCAGTGATGAGTGGTGCCCCTCAGGGGTATGAGAGCAGTATTAGTTACCATCTTAGCTGGGGACATGGTCTGTGGGATTGAGTGCACCCTCAACAAGTTTGCAGATGATACCTGTGTGGTGGATTGAAACCTTAGAAGGAAGGCAGGCCACCCAGAGGGACCTTGATAGGCTTGAGAGGTGGGCCTATGCAAACCTCATGAAGTTCAAGAAGGCCAAGTGTAAGGTCCTGCACATGGATATGGGCATTCCCAAACATGGATATAGGCTGGGAAACAAGTGGATTGAGAGCAGCCCTGAGGAGAAGAACTTTGAGTTCAGGTGGACAAGAAGCTCAACTAAGCTGGTAATATGTGCTTGCAGCCCAGAAAGCCAACCGTGTCCTGGATGCATCAAAAGAAGAGCGGCCAGAAGGTCAAGGGAGGTGATTCTCCCCCTCTTATCTGATCTCATGACACCCCACCTGCAGTACTGTGTCCCAGTTCTGGGGCCTCAAACATAAGACAGACATGGACCTGTTGGAGAGAGCCCAGAGAGTGGACATGAAGATGATCAGAGGGTTGGAGCATCTCTCCTATGAAGATAGGCTGAGAGAGATGGGGTTGTTCAGCCTGGAGAAGGGAAGGCTCCTGAGAAAGCAAAACAAAAATGTGGAAGGGACTTCCTGGATTAGAAAAAAAATATTTTTCCTGTTGATGCTAACGCAGCCTGTGTAATGTTGAAACACTTACTGCAGTTATGCTGAAATTCATACCAATTTTAAGAGTTTATGTCCTAGTTACCAAGCTAGATCCCCTTTCCTTCCTCTCTTCCAGAGAGGTGAAGAAGAGGGAGTGGATTGAGGGTCTAGGCTTTGTTTGAAACCCTCAACCTTCAGGCTGCTGTGTGGGGGTAGCACTGCTCCTCCCTGAAGGTATTTGATAAATATAGGCTGCTCCTCCTGAATTATTTTTATACACAAATTCAAAATACATTTGCAAGTAACTCTCTGAATAAGCCAAAATATACTTTTAAAGCAAAAATTTTAGTCATCAAGCAAAGAACTCATATATTGCTAAAACTACCTTGGAGCAGCTATTGCTGCCCACACAGAGTGCTGCTTTCCAGGCTCTGCCACCCTGGCATGTCCCTGTGCCTCTTCACCAGCTTGTGGAACAGCTTTGCCAAACCATGTGTTGGGGAGGAGATGGGGGTACGGCAGCACGTATGGTCCTGGGACAGAAGATCATATGTGGAGCAGATCGAAAGTGCTGTGTGTCCTCCAGGAGGGCTCTTCCATTGCACACAAGTAGGTGTGCAGAGGTGGCTTTGGCTTCCCTGCCAGGGATGCAGGAAGAAGAAGGCACGCAGCTGGTGCCTTGGGCTGGGTGATAAGGAGGGTGAGGTATGAATGTGGCACAGGGATGGCATCCTACCTTAGGCATGTGACTTGCATGTGACAGGAGAAGACAGTCAGGACAGGCAGCCCAAGAGAAAGTTTTGGAATAGGACTGCTAGGAGCCAAATCAGAACACACCAGAGATAAATTAGCTTGAAATTGGGAAAAATTCTAAAGGAGTTCAT